TCCCACAAGTTATTAAATTGTAGATTCACTGACAAAGACACAGCATAAACATGATCGTCATGTAGACTCTTGTGGTATAAGATACACAAGTAATTGGATCTAGTGCAAGTGGGAGTTTGTAAGTGTTATGACCTAAATTCAATTAACTTTGGAGCATACACACTTTAAATATATATTATCAATGCATATTTATGGTAATATCTACTATTTAATTAATTAATATTCTAATAAATTAAATAATAGATTCAAGTCTTAGCAATTTGTTAATCACAGGGAGTTGTGGTTGTGAGATACAAATTACATATGATTGAATCTTAAATCGTCTGTAATCGTATATAATAATGAGATACAAATATCGTTATTACTATTCAAAAAGTTATTTCCATGTGACTCGTAGGATAATTACAGGTAGACGTGTATATGGCACTTTTGCCCTGTACATGTAGCAAAGTCTGTATTCAAAACATTATTTTTACAAAATATATGTCATCAAACATGGGCTAGTTTTAACCATATATTTTATATGATCCACAACGTTTTAATTACACATTACACCACTTTTTATCAAAATCTACTAAAAATCAAATTTTTTTTATATAAATTAAATAGGGTCTAAATGTCAAAACATTATTTATGACAAAATACATAAAAGTAGAACTTTATATTATGGCTTTGTTGAACTTATAGTATACAATTGAGACAATATGTACAAGTAATATTCAACAAAGTAACATTAATTTCTGCTAATAAAACTGCAATGCTTTCAATCTGTTTGCATATATGCCGCTTTGGTTTTTTTCTTCCATTTAGTGTTCTCTGGTCTCCTTTAACACCGATGGGATCATTATTTTCATCTTCTCCAAATTCCTGCAGAACTTCCAATCTTAAATGCTCGAGTCGAAATTTATTCCTTATCTGTTGGTCGTGCTGCAATACCAATTACAGTCACATTGCCCGTTCCACAGACATGAACGGATTAAGCAAATTGTTAAAAGATTAAGCTAAGAATTACCATTTCTCTTCTGGTTTTCGACTTTTCGCTTGAACTGTTTGTTGAAAGACTTTGCTGCCATGAAGACGTTTGCAGGTCTTTCCCAGCCTTGTCCGAATACGCCATAGCCTTCCTTAGGTTGAGGTCGAATCAGGTATTCCAGCACTTCAAGCTCTTTTGTATCCACCCAATAGATGCAATTTACAGGACATGAATCAACTGATATCTGTAAATGCACAGATCAAGTTAACGCATGAAAGACATCTGTTCGAGTAAATGTCCCGATTGAGCATCATTGACGAAACGGCCTGCATACCTCGATTTGTGTGTCATCGTCGCCATACTGAAGTTTGACACGTGCAGTTCCAACTGCTTCGTCCATGGTGAACGTGTTGCCTGCGTGGTGCACGCATTCTCTACAACCTACAAATTCAAACAGAGTACAAGTATCTATTGTTTCGTCTAGAACTTTAAGTTATTGAATTGTTTGGAGCCTAGTAATTGTTAGCTCCTATCAACTTTATGAACGAGCTCAACAATATCAACATCTAATTTTGAAGAATAAATGAGAACTAAACAATCTTCTTGAAGCAAGAAGATGAACAAAAAACAAAGGAAAAAACACAGGAAACGAACGAGAGAAAAAAAAACTTGACAAAAGATTGATCTTGATGTGTTATCCATATCAGACAACCATGCTTCTTACATAGAGTACTAGCCAACAACTATTACATTGATAAATAATAAACAAATGCAACATGGCTTAAAATAAGGAAATAAACTATCAACTACCATACATAACTATTGAAAGGAATGATGGTCAACATGTGAGTTTTATATAAAAGCTTCATTCTCCTTCAGTAATACTATGAATTTAACCCCTCATCCACGGATTGACATGATATTATGCAATCCGCTATAGATATGCGTCCGTGATTTGCTTGATTTTGATTGGAATACTCCTATTTAGTGCTAAAACACCAATCTAGTTGGTATTATAGGATTAGTCCGATTAATAAGTCACATTCTTTCATTTAATTTAACTTTAATTGAACTTATCTTGTAGTGCTAACTACACTACATGGCCTCAGATTTTATACAAGTTCTAAATTCTAATAATACTGAGACGTGAATTACTATAAATAAATCAATTTACATTGTTTGCTTATTTTCTTATTATATTGCTCTTGATAGTAGGGACTAAGGCTTAATTTTTAATATAAACTTCACGTATCGCGATAATCCATTTTTGAAAGAGGATGTGTTAAGGATTAAATTTAAATAAGTTACCTATACAAGCATTCTCATCAACGAATATAGCTTCGGGTCTCAAAGGGCCTTTCCACGAGCTCGTTGCACCCAACCTCATTAGGCCAATCGAAGCATCATACTCTCGTCTGAGATCCTCCTTCATTAAAACCTCGCAGGCTTTATTCAACTTGATTGTATTCTCATGACCCTGAAACAAATGGAAAATCTTAAAGCGGTAGATAATATTGTTAGGACAAAAATTAACAAACATAGGAAGAAGTAAAAGAGACAAGACTTTTTCTCCGGCAATGTCTGGATGGTGTATTTTCTGCTGTTTCCTGTATGCATCTTTTATTTCTTGAGAGCTTGAATCAGTAGAAACTCCCAGTAGTTCATAGTAATTCTTCTTTCTTTCACTACATCTTACTGCAATAGATCTCGTCCTCCTACTCGAGTAGATATAAATGTTAAGAAACCCAACAATTTTCGAGTTCAAGGCGTACGAGGCCACATCAAGAACTATGATATGTATCGACTATTACCTGTAGATGGACTTGTTAGAACCGAGTCGTAGATGAATTTCAGCAGATTTTGGACTTGAGAGTTGAGAAATGGAGAAAGATGCCAACATGTTTCTATTCCAGTAACTTAATTTTAGCTATTGTTTCCAATTCTGCAAGAATATTCAGAGCTTAGATATTTTCAGTAGATCAGCAAGATATTTTCTTTTTTGTGGCTTTTTGCCTTTTAAAATTGTTGTCGCAAAAACGTATTCATCCTCTAATAGACGGTTGTTATGCAAGTGCGATTTTAAAAGGAAAAGAAAACTGTACCATTTGTCCTCCACCTATAGTCTCAACAGCAAATTCATCCACATTCTTTAAAATACAGCATTTCGTCTTCAACCTTTTAGTATTATTTCAAAATAGTCCTACTGAATGATATCTGTGCAAATTTGTAGCAAAAGGGTCAATTTTTGTTGAAATGACAATTACATTTATTTTTTAATAACATGTAAATAAATATAAATAAAAAGGAAAATTGCAAATCCATTATACGGAAATGGAGTAGGGTGCGAACCAAAAGGAGGTTGGGTTGGGGAAACTTGGGGTAAAAAGGGGTGGGAGGTGAAACGAGGAGAACTAAGTGAATTAGTTTTAACTAAACAATATAACTGGAACATTGAGCCATTTCATCTAAGGATGAAAATGAGGCTCGAGTGGTCTTCCCATTCCTTGTTTCGTAGAATTTTTTTTTCCTTTTAAGTAAGTTCGGGATAGGATTGAAACATTTTGTTATCCCTATTTTCGTCCTATCAGACTTCTTGAATTAAGAGAGTGAGGGTAAAAAAATTAAAATGCTTATTTTAAACGTTGGTGATTAACATGCTATTCAGGTCATAATTTGGGGACCAATGCTGCAACTTTTCCACCGTAGAATTGACGTTTTATAATTGGGGGAAAAAGCGAATCAAAGTGGTCGAACGCCACCGCCTTAGGCCGCCGGGAATGGGTTGAGAAATTGTAGAAACTACATAAAACAATGTACCCAGCACGATTTCTGCAGCCAATTAGAGTTTCTCTTGCATTTTCTCATTCGCGCCTCTCGTTCTATTCAACAGTCCCTCGTAAGTCGCTGAGTCGCACACATGTATGTATGTACAGCTCAAACAAAAATTGATAATCGATACTAATTCTGTTTCAGGTTACGGGAAATTTGAACACTTGAACACATGGATGAAATTGAAAGGCCTCAGACCTCAAGCGCCTTACTACTCACACAAATCTAATTGGAATTTGTTCAGTATTCGAACGTATTGTCATTGCTTTCGTAGTTTCCCAAACAAAGGTATATTCTCATAACTTTTTTCAAAAAAAAAAACAGAACATATGAAACGATTTTTAGCAGTTTTTCATTGGCAATTTTTTTGTGTTCTGCTTTATGATTGTTTAATTTCCAGAATATTAGGTAATTTGTATCAAAATTTAGGTTACATTTTAAAAGGTCAAGAGTACTCCAAACCCTTGAAGTTGGATATTTATTTTATTTATGTTTGATGTGGTCGAATACCTGTTTCATGCCTAATTACATTGAAAGTATATGGAGCATGTTTGCTAAGCTTAAAAAAAATGGTAAAATTTTCTTTTTGATGACTTCTTTTTTTTCAAACATGTTTGGATATGTCACATTTAAAGGGAAAAAGTTACTCAATAGTAAATCAACTTATTTTCAAATTTAACCAAACAATTTTATTTCTTAGCCTATTTTGGCTGGTGTTTATGAACCGTTTAAACACTTGTCCCACTTTTTATCCACTCATTTCAAAGATCTACAATTACTACTCACTTATC